GCGTTTTCTGCATTTTCTGCTGCATTTTTCTGCAAACTTGCTGCTGCATTTTTCTGCACTTGCTGCTGCATTTTTCTGCAAGTTGCTGCTGTTTTCACTGTTCACGCAGAAACATTCTGCATTTTCCTGCACTGTTTCTGACCAGAAAACTCTGTATTTTCTCCAGAAATATTCTGCATTTTGCAGCATTTCTCCTTGCTATTTTTCTGCATTGTTTTCCCCCAAATTTCTTGCCATTTACCGCAAAATTCTGCTCCTTGCCAAATTCTAGAAGTTGCAGTTACTGTTCACTGAGTGCACTGTTCATCCGTTGAATTTTAATTAATTGGAGTAGAAAATCTCATGGAATACGTTAGTTATGGCATTGGATTAATTTTAGTCCAGTAGTGATGTATTATTGATTGGGGTTTTGTTTGGTTGTGAGAACGTGATGGGAAAATGAAAAGGAAATTGGTTATTAATTCTTGAATATTTTGATTAGGTTCTTGATCGTTCTGTCAGTTTAGTACGTGAATTGAGTGCTCAGTTTTGCGGAATGAGGTAAGTAAATTTATGGTAATGCCCGTACAATTTTAAAAGCATGTTTTGATTTGTTTTTGAAGTGGTGGCGGGACTAAACCCGTTTTACACAAGTATGACTGATTTGAAGTTCTGAATTTTTATGCTTTTCATGAAATTGAGCATGCTTACTTGGAATTTAATTGATTGTCCTGATGATTTGAAAGTGATTAGTGAATTATGAATTTTCTGTTAACTTCTGCCTGTTTTGTCTCCGTTACGGTCATGTTATCCTGTTGCCTGCTAGTGGGAGGTCAAACGCTAACACATGTCGACATGTTCTTGATAGAACCGGTTCATTCCTGTAATCCTACTAGTGGAAGTTAAACACTAGTAATTCCTGTTGCCTGCCAGTGGGAGGTTTAAACACTGGCCATGACCTATAGAGGAGACGTCTATTTCGTTCCTGTACTTGTATCCGTTTTTTGATTACACTTGTTGGCATGCTATAAGTTTAATTGACTACTACTGAACTTTATTCTGCATAATGGTTATCATTGAGCATTCCGTTTATGTTTAAACTGTTTATCTGAAATACTCAAATTTTACCCACGGGCTATCCATACATTTACTTATTGAGATATTTTATCTCATGATTTTCCCTTGTCCACCATTTCAGGTAGTATGACCCGAGACACGGAAACCACGGGAAGTGACGAGTTAGAAGGCTAGCCATTTCGAGATTGATATAATTTTAGAAATAAATCATGTTTTTTTTATAAGATAGATTTTACCTTGTGATTTTAAGTTTAAGTCATGTTGGACATAGATTTATGGAATAGAGTTTGGGATTTGAATAAGTTCCGAGCCTTGTGCGTTTGTGGGACTCGTCTCACGAGTGCACGGCGTTTGTTGCGCCTCGGATTTGGGTTCTGGGGCGTGACAAGATCTGTAGTAGCAGTTTCAATAACAGATCTATAGCAGCAGCAGCAGCAGATTTGTAGCAGCAGAGCAGATCTATAGCAACAGCAGCAGCAGATGTGTAGCAGTAGCAGCAGCAGATGTGTAGTAGCAACAGATGTGTAGCAGCAGCAGCAGCAGATTTGTAGTAGCAGCAACAGAAGCCAAAAGGGAAGGGGAAAGTCGAAGGTTAGGTTGTGAGAATGAGTGAGGAAGAACTGTAGAAGCAAGAAGGGGAGGGCTATGAGGTGTGCTGCGTGAGTGAGAAAGGGAAATGAATAGGGTTAGGAAATTAGGGTTGGAAGGAGGATGATGGGTTGTGTTGGGATGGGTTGGGTTGGGTAAAGTTTAATTTTTATTGAATTGGGTTTGGGTTTGGATTTGGGTTTAATTTTAAAAATTAAATTAAATTTAAAATAGAATTAATTTATATACATTTTTTACATTTTTCACGGGGATGGGGATTCTCGCGGAGCCCCACGGGGCGGGGAAAATTTCCCGCGAAATTTCACGGGGAGAAAATGTCCCCCATCCTCGTCCCGTCCCCGTGACGGGCAAATTGCCACCCCTAGTATGAACCCTAAATTTCTCTTTATGTCGTCCAGATTTTGTCTTTTTGTTTAAGGTTTGATCTGCTTATTGTTCATTTGTTTGATGGATCATGTTTCGGGGTCGGGTCAATTCGACCCAATCCAGTTAAAAAAAAAAAAAGAAACTAAAAACTAAAAAAGAAGAAAGAAAAAAGAAGCTAAAACGAATAAAAAAATATATAAGTATGATTAGGAATTAATTAGGTTAATTAGTTTAATTCATGTTCAATTAAATTCATTAGTTTTAATTAAAATAAATTAATTATGTTTATTTAATGATCTTAATTAAAAAGTTAATAAATATGATTAATTAATTTTAATTAATGTTAAATTAATCATTCAATTAAACTAATAGGTGTAGTTAATTAACTTAAATTCTTAATTTTCTTTAATCTTGGTCAAAGTCATAATTATCCTTCTATTTCAATTTCACCCAGAACTTTTTATAACTAAGCAATTCAGTTCAAAGGTCTCAAATCTTTTCAAATCGTTCCTCTATGTTTGTGAATATCAAATCAATTCTCCATGTTTTTGAACTTAATGAAATCAGTCCATCTAATTTTTACTTGTGCTCATGGTGCATGCATGTCTTTGATTTTGTCTATTTTAGTCTAAAAATTTTAAAAGTGTTGCAATTTCGTCCATCCTTTTTTAAGTTTTCTTATTAGCACCTAAATATAACATTAATGTTTAAGTTGAATTAAAACCCTAATGTTAAAGTATGCAATCGTGTTTAAACAAAGGATTGTGAGATGCGTGTATGCCTTTCCTTACTTCTAATCGAACCCCCCTAAACCTTAATATTTGCGCAAACTTATTTTTAAGGTAACTTATCCTACCTTATACTTTGGACGAGTGATGACTCCTTTTATATTTTTCACACTTAATGTTTTCATTATCTTGAAATCTTAAGTTTGGTCATCAACAAACCCATCAGTGCATAATCCAAGCCTTACATTCTTTGGATCCAAGTTGGGGTAGATGTGATCAAAGTCTTTCTATGCCTCAATATCGATAAGATGCACAATCTACTTGTGCTCATGGTGCATGCATATCTTTGATTTTGTCTATTTTAGTCTAAAATTTTTGAAAGTGTTGCAATTTCGTCCATCATTTTTTAAGTTTGCTTATTAACACCTAAATATAACATTAATGAATAAGTTGAATTAAAATCCCAATGTTAAAGTATGCAACCGTATTTAAACAAAAGATTGTGAGATATGTGTATGCCTTTTCTCACTCCTAATTAAACTTCTGAACCTTAATCTTTGCGCAAATCTATTTTTAAGGTGACTTGTCCCACCTTATAATTTGGATTTGGAAGAGAAAGCCAACAATAATGACCTGAGGAAGAGAAAGAGGGATGGCTGCTAGCTGTTGTGAGGGAAGAGGAAATCGGGGAAGAGAAAATGAAAAAGATTGGTGAGATGAAAATCTATGGTGGTAGGACAAAGGAAGCCAGCTATTGGCCGGTTGAAGAAGAACCATCCGCGGCAAAAGGGGATGGCTGGGATCGGTGTGAAGAAAGAAAGTGGAAACTGAAGGAAGAAAGAAACCAAGGGTCACGAGGGAGGAGAAGAGTTTTTGGGTATAGAAGGGAAGCTTGATTGGAGAAGGGAAGCTTGATTGGAGAAGGAGAAGGATGATCGTTGGGACTTTTTTGGAGAATTGATTGCCAGCTATGGACTGTCCTACAGAGGGGGAAATCTAGGAAGAGGAAGCCTTTTTTCTTTTTTTTTTTTTTTTTGGGTGGTTGGTGGGCTTTGGGCTTTTGTGGGTTTTGGGTTTGAAGTTTTAACTCTAATGTGTTCCACTCTTCAACTTTCCATTTCTTCAATTGGGTCCCTCGTTTTAATTTCTTTCATCTCCTTTTCCAATCTTCTTCGCAAAATCCCTTTCTACTCATAAACTTAACAAGGAAAGTAGAGACAAAACATATCAATTAAACATAAAAATAAAACTAAAATAAAATTCTATTAAAAATTTAAGTTATGATAGGGTTAACTTCATTTGGACATATAGCAGCCCATATTCATGTTGGCCTATATTTTTAACTATTTACAACCTAACTCCATCAATGTGTATGAAATTGGAGTCCATCTTTTTTTCTCTAATAATATAAGGCCCTCATAGTCCAAGAAAAAACATTGATGTCATGCTATACACATGAATTAATGAATTAAATGAACTTTGGTATAATTGAGTCAAGACATATGATAGCTTTAAGCATCAACATTTCATATGAGAGCAGCACATATATGGACAATTAATAACTTCCCTAAATATGGCATGTTGATGCTTAAAGTGACCTTCCCTAAGCAATGAACCATCCCTTTCTTGTCAGATCCCTTCACCTTAGCGAATGTATCATGTCGCCAAGATGTAGTTTCCTCCAATGCACTTGTAGAAGTAGACTCACTGATGCAATTTTTAAGTTGTTCTTGCAACATTTAACCAAAAAAATAACTCCTCATTATTTATTTTTTTATATAATGAAGAAAGGTATACATAATTAAAAACACAGAGTTTATGTGTTTACTTCACTTGGCTTGCCTTTTCACTTATAGGTCCCCCATCTTTTTTTGTTTGGGTTAGAATGTAGAGTTCAACCCTTGGTGGCTTTCTCCCATCAGCAAAGCTTTCTTGGAAAATTAAAAAGCAATACATAATAAAATTCTAATATACCTTTAAGCAAATATATTAAAAAAAAAAAAAGGGAAGATAGGGTAACAATTTAATTTATTAGTAATCTAATATCATGCCCTAAATTAATTTCAATTATCACTTGATTAGTAAAGTATGTACACTGCTTCTTTTAATAAAGTAGCTTGAGCAGAAAAAATCAATCACCTTCTCATTGGCAAATCGTGCAAAAGTCTTGGTGCCTAGGCAATGGGGCTCTTCAAGTTTTTGCTTGTTTTCTTTATTATGTTTTCTAATTTTATGGAAGAGAACAGAAGGTAGAAGTTATTTGTAATGACAGAAAAATAGGCAATATCTCTACAGCATAACAAAATTGTCATACCTCTCCCTTTTCACTACACCAATATTCAACAAGCACCTCAAATTGCTCCTTATCAACTAGTGGATCATTAATTTTTTCATACATTTCATCAACTATAAGCAACAGATCAAATCCTGCACTTTTTAGCTCATTTTTATAGCTTTTCCATTTTTCATTTATATTGGTCATAATCCAACTCTTGATTTTCTCTTTATGGCTTTCCTCAATAAGGAACTTAGACTAAAATTAGAAACCACAAAAATAAAATGAGATTTAAAAAGACTGATAATAACAATGGAAGAAAGCGAGAGAAATTCTAGGAAAGCATTAGCATGGCCATGGCATGATCTAATTTGCCATTGCAGGGGGGAGAAAAAAGAAGGGAGAAAGCTTTAACATTGAAAATCTACAACAAACAAAATAATAATAATAATAATAATTGCTCTGGAAACAAGACTGGCTTGATACTTTGGCCATGGGGCTAGTCAATGAGAAAATAATAACAAGTAAAAAACCTAATACTCCAAAACTCACAATGCCATGAAAAAAAACAATCAAAGTCTACCAATTTACTGATCATCCAAACATTGGAAAAATCCATACTCTGTCTAACATAGATGCATGCTAAAAACCAACAGGTAAAGCTCTTGACACAATACACCACCCTCCAAAAAAAACCGCAGCTCATCACTTCAATAGTATACCCTTAACATTTGGGTTCAAACCCATTAACCCGTTAAAACAGAAAGTTCAGAACTCAAAGTGGAATAAAAAATAAAACCACAAACCCTAATCTCAAGCAACTAGTTAACTATCACAATAAAAATAATAACAGATTTTGATAAAATTAAAAGAAATTAGTTTTCCATATATGAAAAATGTCAAACTTATAGGAATTACAGAGTAGATTATCATTTTCCAAAAACTTGGTTTTTTGTTCTCTCTTTTACCTTACAATGGTAGTTGACAATGAATATATAGGGAGGAAAGGTGGATGGGTGATGAAGGTCCAAGCTATGATCAATAGCTATATATTTTGATTGCAGAAATATGTAAAATGGAAAAAATCTATAAAGTGTAGTAGACTAGAATCTAACCAAACTATGAAATCACAACAACTGGTCCAAGGCTTCAAAATTAAATGGAATTGCAAACAAACTTGAATTGAAATTGAATTGTTAACTAATGGAATGTCAAGCAAATGCAAACAATAAAATTTGCACTAGGTTTACTAATCTATTAAGAGTATAAGCTTTTTTTTTTTTTTTAACCTCAATAATCTTCCACATGTCATCCTTATAAATTTGAGGCATATCCCTTCCATTCCTTATAGCTAATAGGTGGAACATCTAATTTTCTTACAACAGTACCAAGGAATCGAGTCAAGATGTAGCCTTCTTTACCAACTAGGTGACAATTTGCATCAAATACAACGTTGACCTTGACACCTTTTTCCAACTCCCATATGTGGGACATCAATGTTGGACCTCTTGGCTTTTTAGGTGGTGGAGATGGTGCTAATAGTAAAGGCATTCACAAGTTATAAATTCACATAAATTCATCCTAAAAATTTGAAAAACAACATTTTAAGTAAAAAATTTATCTCTACATTCTGTTTCTTCTAAGACAGCATGTTGATGGTTTGACTCACCCTCATTGTTTCCAGATGGAGCAAGTTGTTGGCTTGGCTCAACCTCATTGTTTATGGATGGAGAAGAAGGCAAACCATCCTCAATTTGGTTGTTTGGTAGGACCCTCACAAGATTGATTTGTTTACGCTTTGGCATCCTGTAAGTAAACAAAAATTTGTTAATAATGAAAATTTATATTCTAATGTTGGAATATATACTAAAAAAGCATGCCAAGTTTATGAACTTAGAAAAATTACATACATAAATCTATAACAATCATTCAACCATATTCAAATAATTGAAAAACAACCCACACCAAGCACAAAGTACAACAAGAGAAAAAGAATGCTCTTTTTTTTTTTTTTCTTTTTTTGGCTCTCAAAAGGATCTCCAAGAAGAAATTCATAGTAATCTATTAATTAACTAATCTAAGTTCACGCATGCCAGCTTAATATGTTCTTTACATAATATATTTTCCCAAAGAAGAAACACCTTTACATACACCCAAACTTTGAATTTCAAAGAAGAAAAACAAAAAAGAATAGCACTACCATGAGAATCAATAACAAGAAGTACAACAAAAAAGGGAAAACACAACATAAATTGAAGCTTCTAGTAAATGCATTAACGCTGAATCCTTTAAAGGAGTTGTTTCCGAGGTTGTATGCAATAACGTTGTATAAGAAAGTTCTGTTGAAAGATATAGGCTTTTGGAGTTTGGGTAATTGGGTGTGGGATTGTAGATAGAGATGAGACTGTACTATGAGGGTTGGTGAGGAAGAAAAACGATTGATGGAGGTGATTAATGGGTTCAAGATAAAGAAGGATACAAGGTGGGTGCATAGTAGTGATGGTTCATATTTTATGAAGGATGCATATGATTTCTTATCACCTTAGGATAATCTTCTTGATAAGAAATGGGTAAAGATTATTCGGTGTAAGTTTGCTCCTTCTAAAGTGAGTGTTTTTGGGTGGAGATTATTTTTGGATAGATTAGCGAGTAGGGTAATTTAAGGGGGGGGGGGGTTAGTTATGGTTTATATGGTGAGGGTGTGGAGACAATACATCATATTTTCTGTGAGTGTCAAGGGGCATGGTGTGTATGGATGAGGGTGTTGCATTGGTGGGGTTTGCAAGGGGTTTTGCTGGGAGATGTTTTTGGTTTGGTAGAGTTTGTGGTGTAGGGTATAAGTGGGCGTTGTATGCTAGATTTAGGGGCCTTCATTTTCTTGATTAGTGCTTGGTTTATTTGGTTTTAGAGGAATGTGAAGGTGTTTAGAACAAAGGTGATGTCTAAGGTGCTGTTATCGGAGTATATACAAAATAAATCATTTTTATGGCTCAAAAATAAAGAGATAGGATGTGGGTTTTCTTATTATGATTGGGTTTCTGGATTAATGGAGTGTAGGGCAGCTCTGGTTCAACATCGTGAAAGTGTCTAAAATGCTACAACGAGACATGGGATGAATTTTCTTTATTTGCTGTTGGTTCAAGTGCTAGTTCCTGTGTGCCGATTGTTGCAGTTGTGGGTTTATCTTTCTATTGTTGTTGTTTTGCTCCTTTTTTAATGCCTATAATGTGATTATATTTAACTTTTTGTGTGGGCTTTGTATTTTGTTTGTGGAGTATTCCTTATACTTCTAATTAATAAATATTTCATCTTAGTTTGCTGATCAAAAAAAAAAAAATAGTAAATGCAACATAAAAGAAGTCCACAACCAACAAATTTATAAGCTCTATAACATACAATTGAAATTTATAGAGATTCTGCGAAATGTGGGGAAGAAGGGGAGAGTTTGAACTTACCTTTGTGCTAGATTCTACGAATTTTGGGAAGAAGGAGAGATTTCCAACAGAATCCTCAACAAAATTGAAATCTAATAGCCTTAAACTAGGAATCTAAAGTTAATCACCAACCAAAAACTCTAAACTTGTCCAGGAAAATAACAAAATAATAGAAATTTATTTTGTAATTTACTTCAAAAAACGAAAATCATGAATTGAACTTGTGCCCGATTTTGTGGATTTTGGGGATGAAGAAGAGATTTCGAGCTTTGGACAAGAAAGGAGAACTGAAAGATAAAGAAGGATAGCCTGAGTTAGAAGAAGAAGAACTTAGGTAAGAACTTACGTAAAAGAATCAGTGGGATTACTAAACAAGATCATTCCTCCTTGCCTTGAAGAGGTAGGGCTCCAGGACTGCGCCCTTCTAGCTGAATCAATACACGAAGCATTCCTCAAAGTTGCCTCTGTCGTGAAGCCAAGCTTTTCCATGTCGATGATGAACCCAGCTGCCTAGAAGATCCTAGTCCTGACAACGCCACGGGAAATGCTTTGATCGACGTGATGCCTTGGCTTCTTAATGGGTTTGACAAGGTTGTGGTTGGCGGTGTTACAAAGCTGAAGGCATCTGGAAAGTGTGTTGTGGGGAAGGGTGGCCTTGGGATGTGGCGGTTGTTGGGGACAAGGTGGTGATTGGAGGTGATGTTGTGGATGCAGACAAAGGCAAGGGGGCGGACTGCTTGGATGGGAACCAAAGCACTTAGGTTTTGATGTTCTATCAAAATCAATTACAGATTTTGTAGATTTGGGAGAAGGGTGAAACACCTAGGTCTACCTAGGGAGGGAAGCTCGGGATTAAGGGAGGAAATTTTGGGAATTTGTGGAAGGAAGTGAAAATTTCTACTGCCAGCTGAATGGTCTTTGAGTTTTATCAAAATCAAATACAAACTGTGGACATTTGGGAAAGGGAAGCTAGGGATTTCAGGAGGCAAAATTGGGAATTTATGGAGGGAAGTGATGCTTGTTGCAGTGCAACTGGCTGAAATTAGAAAGCGTTTAAGATACAATGGATTATACAAACAAAACACAGTAATCCGTTTGTATAGATATACTCTATACAAACAAATAATCAATCAATCATTTGTATAAACCTATTCTATACTAACGGATATATTTTTTCGTTAATATAGACTAGTGCATACTAACTACTTCAATTTTCCATTGGTATACATGATTTTATACAGATGGATTCTTGTCCATTGGTATAGACTTCCATTGGTATAAGTCATTTTGTTTGTAGTGAAAATTTTTCATTTACTTTATTTTTCTTTTAATTTAGTTAGTTATCTAAATGAAGAAAAGGGAAGGGAGGGAAATGGAGGGAAAGGAAAGAGAATGTAAAGGAATTGGAAAATATAATTCTCCACCCTTTCTCTCCATTTCCCTCGACCCAAACATAAGGTAAAGCAAATTCTAGCCTCTACATCACCATTGCTAGGTTATATGGAAATAACTATATTTCTCTTCTCTACCATAGAGCAGAATCACCCAGAGGTGTTGTAATATCCCAAAATTCTTGAAATCTTAGAATTTAAGTTAGGGACTTATGTGGTAGAAATTATTATTGATGGGCTTAATGGTTAAAATTCACAAACCTAAAGAGGTTAAAAGTGAAATTTGGTGATAAAAAGGGGCTAAGGTTGATTTTCTTTTGCTCCTTGCCTTATGTGTTTCCCTTCCTCATTAGAAATTAGGTGAGATTTAGTTCTTCTTCTTGCTTCCAAGTCTAATTTAGAAATTTATGAGCTTATGGTTCTCAAAATGATGATCAAAACCTAGATCTTGCTCCTAGCATCCTTCCAATTTGCTGGTTCATGTCGAGTTCTTGAGCAGTGTAGGAGGTCGCCATTTTTCAACACTTTCTCGTAAGAAATCAACCATATTGCATCTTTTCATCTTTGATTAGAATTGGGTTAACTCAAATCTCCTAGGGTTTTCAATTTTGGATTTTTCTGTAGTTTTCCTTTTTGATTTTGCCCATAATGTAGCACCACCAGAATCTGATTCCTATTCTTGTTGGAAATTCTAACAACATGACCTAGCAGTAGTGTTTTGCTCATAACTCTTTCTATAGATATCGAATTGAGCCCATTCTTGATTCTATAGAAATTTAAGAGATAACGCTACAGTTTTTTGGTTGGACGTTTAACTTAATTAAGCTATTTTTCATGGTGAAAACACTACTGCAAGTTCGGTTCTTGAAAGAAGATAGAACTGGCAGCCGAACCTTAAGTTAGTATTTTGGCCATAACTTTCTTTGTAAATGTCAGATAGATTAAGGTGATTCTTATTTCTATAGAATGCTAAGACATAGCGATCCAATTTATCTATTAACCATTTAACGTAGATTGGTCAACTTTTAATTGCAAATTCTATTGGAAATTTTGGTTCAAACTCTAACCAAAACTGCTCTCAAAAGTACCCAAAAATTTGTTATACCTATTGCCATATCACATCGTGGTTTTAGTAGACTTTTAGCTGCTATTTTCCTACCCTAAAACCCCTTGTTATTGCTTTGTTTTGGCTACCTTTTTGCTACTGTATTTTTGCTTGAATGTTGCCCAGTTTTAGCTTATAATCTACCCTGTTTTGTTGCTATCTTTTTACCAAGAAATCCTTGCTGTTTAGGGTGTTTTTCTAGACATTTTGGGACTCTTTCAATAGTGGAAAACCTCATTTTGCTACCTAATATTTCTGCTGGTGTCTAGGATGGTTTTGAGCTCAATTTCTCATATTTTTTCCACCTTATTTTATCAAGAAAATCTGTTTGGAATACCTACTGTTTAGTGTGACATTTGGAGCTATTTTAAGCCTATTCTAACTATTCATTTGAGGTGGTATAGGTTCTAAATCACATCAACCGCCTTGAGTTCTTGAATTCTTTGAATTTTTTGCTTGTTGTATACTTACAAAGTAAGATAAGTAGAATTATGGTAAATGCCCTTGGATTTTAAAGTAAAGATTTTAAAAGCATATTTTAAACTGTTTTGAAATGGTGGCAAAACCTAAATTGATTTTTATTAGCGCCTGAGCATGACTGATTTGAAATGAGAAGTTATCATTTTATTGGGTTAAACATGCCTACATGGAAATTACTTGATTGTTTTGATGATTTGAGATTGGTTTGTAAACTATGAATTTTCCTATTAGCTCCTACATGGTTTTGCCTTCAATATGGTCATGAATTTTATTATCCTACCAATGGGAGTTATAAACGCTAGGACATGTTGACATGTATTTTTGTAGAACTACTTAATCTTGCCTATAGGAGAGTACACTGTATTTTTGTTATCCAATTAGCCGAGATAGTACACTAGTTGTGACTAATTGAGGGGACCACAAAATAAATTTCAATATGCATAAATGATTTATAATTGAGATTTTCTTTCTATTTAAAAATTTAAATGTTTACTTGGCATGCTTTAAATTTTAGTGAGGACTATTCATATTTTTACTTACTGAATTATCTCACATAGTTTTTCCTCGTCCACCATTTCACATAACGAGACCATAGACAGGGGAAACTACGGGGAGTGACGAGCTAGAAAGCGAGCCACATATATTTTGTATTTAGTTCATTTTAGAGATAGACCCACTAGACTAATCATACTGGACATTGATTTTTGAGATATAGATCATTCTTTTGTAGGCTAAATTTCCTTGGAGATAGTTATGATTCTATTAATGGAGTTGTATAAATTTCGTGCACTCTTGGCCTAGTAAAGCTTGGATTATAAAAGCCATATGTTATTTTGAGATTTGGATCTTAGTTTAGTGGATTGCCAGATATGAATTAACAAGTTCTGAGCCTTGTGCACTTGTGGAATCCTTTCACAAGTGTACGGCGTCTGTTTTGCTCCCAATTCTAAGGTGTGACTAGTGCAATTGGATTTCTGCATTTTCTATGGTAGTTCGGCAATTGCCTGCTTAAAGTGATCTTGACATGGGTAGAATGTTAAACAAGAGCCTGATTTCATGTAGATTATTGAATAACATATGTACTTATTATCCTCAGACAAAATACATATATCAGCTATGTGCTTATCAAACGTTAACATAAGTTCAAAGCTACCTCAGCGGTGCCCTTTCTTGCCATTCCTGTTGCTAACATGGTGCAACCATCCAATCCCTTTGAGGGCCTTGGAGATCTTCATTAGGTTAGGCGTTCTCATTCCTAAATTCATCTTCCCCGCTGAGAACTTCAAAGCCTGCAAACAACAGAATTGCCCATCTGTATCTTCTTCATAGTCTTCATTATCATCTTCATCTAAATACTCCTTTTGGCTACCTTTCTTTCCCTTCTTTGACCTGCTCTTCAGCTGCATCTTTTTGGAATCTGTCTCGTATGTTTCCCAAAGCAAATCCATCCCTTCCCCTCCAATATCCGCATTGTGTCTCTCTTCATAAAGCTTGCATGCTAGTGTCCTCGTCCACTCTTTTTCTCCCCTCATCGATCCGAAACTCCCAAGATTTGTCCCCAATCCATCACCATCAGTACTACCAAAACTACCTCTTTCCCTCCAAGAAGAATTCATCATTGCTTTTGAAACATGCTGTCCAGCATTATCAATGCCCACTTTTGCTTCCCTTATTTTATTGTCCATCGCCTTGGATCCCCTCCTAGTGGATTTTTCTTCTTTTTCTTCCTCACCTTTCTCGGACTCTCCGCTAATTAGTGACTTTACTTCTTTTTCTCCCTTTGTCTGTGGCAAATTTTCAAACACCTCCTTTTCATGCCAGAACTCTACCATGCTCTTTACTCCCACAATCACTTCAGCAAACTCCGGGCAATGCAACTCCCCCAACTCCCCCAAATTCCCCAAACCCTTCTCTGGAGAAGCCTCAATGGCTTGTATACACCTCTCTTTGGACTCCATCTCCGAAACTTCAACAGGGTTTTCCCCAATTTCAAGATCAGACATCTCAAACACAATCTTATACGCTTCCAGTGCCTCAAAGCATCGAAAGTCATCACCTTGATCATCATCTACCTTAGACCTAAACCTTTCAACAAGTGTTTGGTATGTAGCAAGTAAGAAACTGACCTTGGATTCCGGTAATTCCAGGGGAGACCCATCATTGACCAGGAGGGTGAAAAGGGTAAGAAGCCAGAGAGAGGTGGTAATAAACAAAGGGGAGAGAAAAGACAGGACCCTGAAGAGGTAAGGACAGAAGAAAATGAAGTAAGAAAAGTACAGAGGATGAGAAAGAATTAAGGAACAGAAGAGCTTGAAGTTAGTGAGGAGAAGACAAGGAGGAAACTGGGTGGTCTTCTTGGTTGGAGCTGTTGATTCCAAAGAAAATTCAGTCATCTTGTGAAGGGTCAAGACACGAGGAAACTAAAACAGATAATTTGGAAGGGGAATGAAGTTGGTGATGGATGGGAGCAGGGGAAGGGCTTAGAATTGGAAAAGCATGATTGGGGCTTTCTTTTTGGTTTAGTGTAGCAAATGAGGGGAGAAAAGTGTGAAATTGGAAAAGAGAGCGGCGTGAATAAAGGGATTAAGCTGGGGTAAAGGACGGGGGAAGGAGAGTAACTAACATTGACGACAAAAGAAAACAACTTTAGAAACTTTCTGGTGGCTAACATCCCTTAACAGCTCTTTTTCAGTAAATTCCGTGACAGCTGCAATCAAATCATTCAACGTTTGGATTAATAGCCAATTATGATGCAATATAGTAAATATGAGTAAACTGTTTGTTAGGGGATATAAAGTAAAACACACTTTAAAATTACATTATTTTATTTAATTTTAATTAAAAAAAATTAAAAGTTAAGAGCTTGAAATCATCATTTAATGTACAAGAAAGAAAAAAATTGTTTTGATCTTTTTCTTTGTATTATTTTAATTAAATAATAAAAAAATACATATCAATTCTGATTTAAAAAAATTAAAGTTTTAATTTTAAATTATATCATTTTTATTTAATTTTAAAAATTAAACTTTTAAATTTTGAATTAAAATTTTAATTTTTAATTGTAAATTGAAATTTTAATTTTTTTAACACTCAAAACGAATACACACTAATCTCTAAATAATATAGGCAACTTAGTTTTAATGTGTTTTTCTTTTTTTTTTTTTAAGTCAATCTAATAAATATTAATCTATATATATATATAATAGTATCTTAATTTTAAAACCAATCTCTAATTACAGACCGTCGAGACTGGATTCACACCTTCATCTTCGTGGAATGATCTCGAAGTATGAAGTTCTCTCATTTTTATGTTGGTACATGCAACACATACATAAAATACAAGATGCAAGGATGCCACTGAATTTAAGTGGTTACTGATCAACACTCCAATAATCTATCATCAATAATCAACATTGGATAGAAGTTCATGTAGCCAACTGATTCCATTAATCACTGCCCCACCTGCTGCCCTGCAACTCTTGCGGCATTGATATGTGTAGCTTCAGATTGAAGATAAAACCTATTCAGCAAGCACGAGTTCATCGTTATTAGGATTGATTCTATTCAATGAAGAGAGGGGCACTCGGTTAAGTTCACACAATGTAGGAAGATTAAGATTTGAGAATAGGAATAGGAGACACAAGGTGATTGAAAGGTTTGGAAGAATGCGTTGATAGCTTATGGGAAGCCACTCATGGCTACTCAAGTGCTAGCCCATTTGCACGTACCCTTTGGTCCCCCTCCTTTGAATGGATCCATGTCTTTGTTTTTGGCCCTTCGGGTTTTCTGCACTCAGAATACTAATGGAGTTGTTGCCCCTTTCTTTTTTCTTTTTTTTTTTACCTTTGACTACCACTATAATCTTCACATTATTCATAGAAACAGGAATTAAACACTGTTTGGTCTTTGGCACAAAGTTAAAAAGTGAAAAAGATGATAACGTGAGAACACAGAAAGGAATTTGTATATCTTATGTCGGAATGATTCCATTCCCATTAACCCATCTTGAGAATAGCTTTTGCACAGATGCATGGTACAAATGCAATACTACATGAATTTCTAACTTTCTCAAAACTTATTAAAAAGTCAATTTTTAACTTTTCCTTCAACAAAATTTCGAATCTGTGTGAAAAAAAAAAAAATTTAAGCAAATGCTTCTTCAATTTTACCAGACACCCTCATAATACAGTTGATTGATTTTAATGCCTTTGTACATACTCATGCATAGTGGTGTTCGTAGTGTGGTTTAGTTCGGATTTTATTATTTTTTAAACTAATATAATTTAGTCAGTTAATAAAATTTTTAAATCAGTTCAATCAATTATTATGTAATAACCAAACCAATCCAATTTAAATCGGATTGATGTGGTTCAATCAGATTGATCGGTTTTTAATATTATTAAATATATAAAATAATGTAAAAATATTTGAACATCAAATAGAAAGTATAACTATAAAATACATTAACATCAAAATCAGTAAAAACATAATAATATGTAAAAATTATAAAAAAAAATTTCTTATACTCCTTTACATTTGTAAAAATTGAAAAGTTTTGAAAATTTTTCTTGGTTATATCACTAAAGGCACCAAAAACAATAAAAAATAACTTCAAATTTCTAGCACAACATAAATAATTATTGAAGATTAAAATTAGTTTTTTTCTTAATGCACTAATAATTTAATCTCATTTTCTAAATCATATTAAAAGTGAATAATATTTAACATGAATATTACTAAAATTGATTCGAAGCATTCATAATCAAAATTTAAAACTTTTAAACCAAATATCCAAAAATAATAGAATATTAAAACTAATTTTATTATATAGTTTTAAGGCTTTTAGAATAATACTTATTTAAAATTTAATCAGGAGAATCATAAGATTATTTTAAGAATAAATTAGAAATTTAGGATTCTAACAGTAAATGTGTAAACCAGTTCTGAGATGATAAATTTATAGGTAAATTAGAAATTTAGAATTAATGTTAGAGTGCATGATCAAAATGGAGAAATAACTTAGGGAATATGGAGATGTTCTATTTTTATTTTTTTAGTTAAGTTAATAGAGTTATAATATTGTAGAATAAGAAAAAGAAAATTTTAAATACTACAAAAAATATGCTATATTATTTAATTAAATTATTTTCTAATCGGATTTTATTTTGTAATCAGACAGTTCGGATGGTTTGAAAGTAAAACCACAAATCAAACCAATTATATCAATTTTAAAATTTTAGAATTCCAACCAATTTAATTCTATATCGGTTTGGATCAGTTTTTAATTATATTAAATCAGTTTAGATTAAATCAATTAGATTGGATAGGATATGACAATCCCTACTCATGCATAAAAATGGGCTCAGCCATCAATGTCAATCACCACTCCACAACCACAAGCGAAGACTTTGCCCTTTCTTTAGGGATTTCTGCTTTTGGATAAAAGTAATGTCTACAGTAAGCCAAAGAAGAGGCATCCTCAACAACAAGCTACACCTAATCATCCAGGTATCAAAAAAATGAAGAAACCAAAGATTATGTACCTTACTACTACCCATATGAGATATCTATTACAACATTTGTACCGCTGCGTCATCAACAAAGCCATTTAGAATTCTATGGGTGAGACTACTGCAAACCACTTTGTACAGATGACCTCCAATAATGACTTGGGAAATGATTAAATACAGAGGAATGCAATGGTCCTATGGAGAATGGTTTTTACAGCACATTCCTCCCACCAATGTACCACCGGGAAAACATCCCCTAACAGCATAACAACCTTGAGTGGGAGAGAAAAGCGCAGTTTTTATAATGCCCACCCAGCATTCACATCACAAAACTTAATAATAAGCATAAAAATAAAAAAATAAAAAAACAAATCAAAGATTAGAGACAAGCAAAGAGCATAGAGTTCATTCCATTTCAGACAAGAAATAGTAATAGTTATAATAATAGTATTCTGAAACATCTACCATTATTCCAATCCTATAGCACATAACAAGTTATAACAGCAACTACAATAGCATTGTGCAAAATCCCACCACCTCACATCCTGAACTAAAGCACACCAAACATGGCACCTTTTACTCTGTCACGATAGGCTTGTTCTCATTAGCTTTGGGTTTCTGCTCCTTAGGTTTCTGCTCCTTAGGCTTCTGCTCTTCCATTCTCCTGAAATAAAACAAAGTCAAACCATATTACATGAGAAAATGTTTACACGGAACTTCTGGTAAAACATATTTTGAAGTTGAAGACAAAATAAGAAAGGCATATAAAACGGACACCCATAAGGAAGCAGATTCATTGTTGTCATTGACAGCATGATGCAAAGAGCGAAAAACACCAAGCAAGAAAATAAATCAAAGAGATGTAAAGGTACTAACAAGCCCATATAACAAAATCCAAATTGATAATACATATAATATGTACTGCTTTACAAATGGATACTTTCAACTAAAAATTAATTAAAGCTAGAAAGCCTCAGAGACTAAACGGATCAACCTTTATATGAGGAAACATATAAGTGGTACACACTTCATCTCCTTTATACCAGGCTCCAATTAAATAACTATTAGGTCTTCATTTCATGATCTTTATATCGCAGCTACTACTACAATCCACACCATGTTTTTGAGTTGAAGCACCAAACAAGGTTCTTAATCTGTTTAAATTTTGAAGAAAAAAAGATTTGAAATAATTGATTCTACACAATTCCTCCCAAAATACAAGCTAGTTTTAACAATCCTAAAACTCTCCAGTACATCACTGAAACTTTAAACACGAAAATTAATTTAACAAATATCTGCAAGTAATCTTCTGAAACCTCACAAGAATCCAAAGGGAAAAAATAAAAGCTATCTCCTTAGACATTCGAGCACCTTAACAGATAATACTTTCAAAACAAGTATTGTGCGGTGCAACCTTTGTCGTCGGACTGCACAATCTGAACCATTAACAAGAAGCGCTGTGAACGCGGCCATCCTCCACAACCAATGTTACTTTTTTGCGGTAGAGCTAGCAAAAAAGCGAACTCTAGTACTTTTAACATATCTAGATAAAGATGGACACAGAAACAAGCTGAAGAAAGATGAACCCCTTGTCGGAGGAGACGCCGCCCTTCTGGCTGAGGAATGAACGGAAGAGAGGTGAGTTGAAGTCGTAAATCATTTTTGCAGGCAACACGACACAAACCCTGGCAGCTTCTTTAACCTGCGATATTGGGGAAAGGCCGAGCAAAACCTCTTACCCTTCCACAAATTCTGAATTTTTAAGGAGACCTCCTGATGTCCCCCAACTAACTGGTAACATATTGAGTTTTCGGGTAACACAATTCAGACTATTGGGCTTGGACCTAAAGTTTGGGCCATATGTACGGAGCAGGTATGAAGTATGAACCCGAACTGTTACTGTAACGGGCCGGGACCGCTATCTAAATATCAATTGAAGTTTTTATTAATCAAATCACTTTCTAAAATAAAAGACAAAAATTAAAAAATAAAACCCTAAAACAATGCAAATCTTAAAGGAAGAAGGTCTTTGAATTTGATGAGTTTAATTAAGACCTCAATTCCTAATTTATTCAATATATAAGAAATTCATTTATTTGTATCATAATATTTTTATCTTTTACAAAATATTTAATTATAGTCTAATATTCTTTTCATATATATTTTAAATGGTAGTTGTCATAAGAATATGATAAATTAATTGCATCAACCTTGAGTTGTTAAATATGAAAAATTATAAAGATTATAAAGAGTTAAATGAAAATAACTTAAAGTTTTATGAGATAAATAAAATATTTAAAAACTTTAAAAGGGAAAAAAAATAATATATATCAATTTTTTCAAAAGTTGATGACGGGGGTAAGCTGCCCCCTCTCGCACCCCCCTCCGTCCGCCATTGGTCTCCCTGTCTAAGCCCCGCCATTCATAAGAACAAATATAGAAGCAAATCTCAAACATATCATGATCTAGAACGCCACGTTTCTCTGAAGTCAATGTACTTCATTGTTTCATCAAGGAACTCCCAGTTCATGCAATCCATAAAAAGCTTTTTCAAAGTTAGCCTTGAAAACAAAGGAGCTTGATTTTCATCTCTTCACTTCACATATCAATGGTCTCGTTCAGTATTAAAATGTTATCCACGATTCTTCTTCCCCCCTAAAAATGTGGACCTTCTTTACTGATTACCTTTGTCATGACCTTCAGGCGGTTAGCTAAGAGTTTGGATAGATTCTTATATAAGCTGCTTATTAAGCTATATTCCCTAAGCTCAACTGGATCGCTTTTTTCGGAAATTAGGGCAACATATAAAGAATTATGACCTCTGACTAGCCTTCCACTTTTCCAAAATTCCTTTATGAAGTCAGACATATCTCTTTCAATCACATCCCTGATCACTCTGATTAGATGGAAACTTGGGAATTTGTTCATGCCACAATCCCATGCAGCTGCTTTAATTTCTTTAGCTAAGAATTGTTTTTCCAGCCACTGCATATCCTCAAAAGGTATCTCTTTGAATTCCAGGTTATGAAGCTTAGGCCTCCTCCGCTCCTCCTTTTAGAACATATTCATGGAATACTTCCTGACCTCTTTCTTTATCAAGTCTGGATCCTCCACCCAGTTTTGTCCTGATTGATACCATTTTTCTCTTTTAGTCTTTTACTGTTAGCCATTCTGTGAAATAGTTTAGAGTTTACATCACCATGTTTCACCCACTCTATCTTTGTTAAAGATCCTAATGATGAAGAGAAGAGTTCGAAATGGGCATACTTGGAACCCTTGGAACGGTGGTGCTGGGTTGAAGCCAACAGTTTATATGCTTCTTCAATGAAATTCATGAATTTCAACATCAGAGGGCTTGGTAGTAGGGTTAAACATAGGGAACTAAAAGGCTTTCTAAGGAAGGAAGCAATTGATTTTGCATGCATTCAAGAAACTGAAATGAAAGAAACTGACGGGCAGGTGAGCCAATCTCTATGGTATTTTGGTAATTCTGATAGGGAGATATGGTGGATTATTGTGTTTATGAAACAAAGGTGTTTTTGAAAAGCTATTTAGATCAGTAAAATTGGCTCTATAGCTGTGGAAGGACTTTGGGTTGTTAGGAAGCTAAGATGCACTAGTATGAATATATATGCCTGACGCAAGAGGAGGAGAAAACCAGGAGACATGGCGTGATCTAGCTTCATGAATTGCATCAGGAAGGAAATTTTGGTGTGTTACAAGAGACTTTAATAGCACTAGAAATGATGTAGAAAGAAGAAGAAGGATTTACAAATATGTTTAGATTGAAAGGAATGAAATGGAGGAAAAAAATTTATTTTATTTAGTTATCAAAATAATTGAAAGGGTTTCTTCCGCTGCCCTCTATTTCTCTTAATTTAAATATATTATAAGGCACTTTAATTGCAAAATGATTGCAATGAGTATAATGAATCAGTTTTGAAGTTATAATGTGTTTTGTTTTTATACCATTTCACTACAATTAAAAAAAAAAACTAAACCAACATGTTAAATATTTTTTCAAAATAATAATAAATAATACTAAATAACAAATAATTTAAGTTTCATTTAACCGTGTGTGTGGTTTTAAATTTTTAGTTTCAGTTTTTATAAATTTTGTAATTATTAAAAATTAATATTAAAAATAAAAAATAAAATTTATTAAAGGAATTTTAATATTGGTTAGTAAAATTTTAAACTTATTTAATTGTATATTAAAATTATTTTTATTTTTTCTTCTTTAATAATTATAATAATATATTACAAAAATACATAAAAATAAACATGTTTTATATTTTAAGTTGTAAAATTTATAAAACGAAAATTAAAAAATTAAAAAACAATATATTAAGGTTATAAACCCATCGAGTGATAATATGATGTTTGAAAAATCTTTTTTTTTTTATTTTACGGATGTTTGGAAAACTTAATTTAGATTTAATATTTTTTTACTGTAATGTTTGATTATATGCTAGGGTTTTTTTTTTTTTTTGTTTTAATAGTTAAGATGTTTATATGTCAGCAACTTATTTCAAAATTAATTTTTTTATATTTCACTTAAAAATAGGTAATTTAACTCAAAATTAAAATATTAATAAAAAATTATTTTTTCATTAATTTTTTTTAAAAAATAAAATTTTAATTAATAAAATAAAAAATAAATTCTCTTTCGACTAAACTACGAGGCTTTTGATGTAGCTTGTAGGAAGAATTTTTTTACTTTAAAAACACAAGCTACACCTATAATTGCACCAAACCAAAAGTCCTTCTTCAGTTCATATCTTCACTTCGGATTGACCTGCAAAGCCTCGAGGTTGAACTCGGGGTAGACACTCCGATGCTTAAGTCAGCAATAATCGGGGCTACCTTAGAATGGAGATAAAAGGAGCTTAGGGTTGGTTTTAATTACCTTTTTGATGTGGCCCTTGGAGGGTATTTATAGGCTTTAGTGAGGAACCCACGTGGCATGTCACGCAAGATATTCGAAGTCTGATGTGTCTCTCCAGATGGTTATTTCGGGACCAGGAAATTGAGAGATATTCAGATGTAAGGATGTCCATCATAACTGCTGTGTAGCTTATCATGAGGAATCAGGTGCAGGCATGCTTATTGTCACTGTCATACAGCTGCTTAAGCGGGAAGTTTTGGATTTATTCCTCGCTTCGGTTATACAGGAATTACTGTCGTACGTCCAAGGTTGGGCACCTCGGACCTACCCTTACATTATTCCCCCCCAAAGTCATTCACTTGGGAATGATGTTAGGAAGGAAGGGAGATAAAAATATTAAAGATGAGTTACAGAAGTAAAAATAAAGATAAAAAATAAAAATCTGTAACTTATATGTATGTATGATCGTAGTTAATAGTGAAGTATGAGATAGGAGGCCATGATGGTCATGCCCAAAATAAAATGTGACCGGAGTGATTAGGGCCGTAGTTGTGGTAAAAGTAATGACTAGAGTCAGTGTGACCAGAGCAATAATAAGAAATGACAACCAGAGTCAGTGGCTAGAGCGATAATAAAAAGTAATGAGCGGAGTCATAATGGCCGGAGCCGTAATAAAAAGTAATGACTGAAGTCATAGTGGTCGGAGCCGTAATAAAAAGTAATGACCGAAATCATGGTGGCCGGAGCCAAAGTTAAAAGTAATGACCGGAGTCATGGTGGCCGGAGCCAAAGTAAAAAGTAATGACCGAAGTCATGGTGGCCGTAGCCAAATTAAAGCATGTGACACTAGGTCACTGTGGTGGTAGCCGAAGAAAAACGTGTGACACTAGATCACTATGGCCGGAGCCGAAGTAAAACGTGTGACCAGAGACATCAGGTCAGTTGCGAAGCAAAATACTTGCAAAAATTGAGAATGTGTAAAAGTGAGCAAGAGTGTTGAGATGGGCTTAAGTGGGCCCGTCTGATAAGTCAGACAAAGAGGCAGTATGTGATGTGACAGTTGTCCTCTGAAAGACATGCGTAATAAATGCGGTTGTAAAAAGATAATTGCAACAGTTAAACGGGTGGATTTAAAAAACGAACCGTCGAGTTCGAAACAGTGTCGTTTGGGGTTAACCGTCGAATTCGAAACGGTGTCGTTTAGGGTTAACCGTCGAATTCGAAACGGTGTCTTTGTAACGGTTAAATGGAGTTAATCATAGCCGTTGAGTAGTATTTTGCCTTTAGTATAAAAGGCAATACTTCTGTAAAAAAGGGTTTTTACTTTTGCTATTTTGCTACCAAATTCTTGCTAAATTTTTGCGGTTTCGTGCGGTTTGTGCTTCGTTTGGGACTTTAACAACAGTTTTTCAAGACCAAAATCAGGTAAATCAGGTAAAGTTTATGAATTTCTGATTTTGATTTTACCAAAGTGTTATTCTCTTTTCTCCCTTTATGTTTTTGATTTTGGGTCTTTTGAAGGAAGTTAGGGTTGGGAGTGAGAATGTTATTGAGTGTGTGTTAGAATTTTTTAAGGGTCCTGACTCCATTCCTTCTCTTACTTTATGCAGAAATTGAGGAGATGTTTTCAGAAGGGGCAATGAGTGTAGTAGAGAGTGAGGTGATGCCCTTGGAGTATGGTGGCATGGACTCGGAGAGTAGTCCGTCTCCATCTAGTTTGAAGAAGACAGTGGAGGAAAGGAGGGAGCGGGGGGTAGTGGAGGAGGAAGAAGAAATTCCCTCAAATATTATGGAGGTTGAGGGTAATGTGGGTAGGTGTTATGACCCCGAATTAGACATAGTGTCTGAGGTGAGAGGGTATGCGAGTGAATTGGGTAGTAGGAGTAGCTTTAGGGGGCTAGTAAATAACTGTAACCTTCCTCATCATGTGTTGATTAGGCCTGCCGGGGTGAATGAGAGAGCATGCTCAGCACCCCGAGACTATTGGATGCCAATGTATGTTAGGGATGGCAATTTGCCCCGATCCCCGTGGGGCCCCGTGGGGATCCTCGTCACGGGGACGGGGCGGGGAGGAATATTCCTCCACGCGGGGTGGGGACGGGGAGTATTTTCTCCCCATGAAAATTCGCGGGGCCCTGTGGGGATCCCCATCCCAGCAAAAAATTAAAAAAATATGTAAATTAGTTTTATTTTAAATTTAATTCAACTTTCAAACATAAATCCAATTCAATAAAATTTAAATTTAATCCAATTTTATCCAACCTATTATTAACCTTTTAGTTATTTATGTTAGATTGATCTTTATTTATGTTTGGATAATTTATATTTAAAGAATTTTAATTAATTATACTTGAATTTTTAAAATTTTATTTATTATAATTAAATATTAATTAATTATATGTAGAAAATTTATTTTTTTATATTAATTGGTGGGGAACGGGGATCCCCATTCCCCGTGAGGAACAGGGATGGGGGGCAAAATTTGCCCCCGTTAAAAATCCCCGCGGGGATCGCAGGGACAGGGACGGACTCCCCGGCCCCGCGCGGTCCCGTTGACATCCCTAATATATGTCCATTATTTGGCTGCAAGGCTTAGGTTTCCCATTCCAGAATTACTGATTGGGTTATTATTAGATTATAGTATAAGAATAACTCAATTAACTTCAAATGCTATAAGAGTAATAATAGGTTTTATAGTATACTGCCGAGCTCGGGGGGTTGGGGTCCCTACCGTAAATATGTTTAAACATTTCTTTATAATAATGGCTGGGGGTAAGGGTGAGAAGGGGTGGTACTACTTTGGCCCTCGGTCGTCCAACAAAGAGAATAGGAGTTTATTCACTACTGGACCGTCATCTATTAAATGATGGAAAGAAAATTTCTTCTTTGTGGATGACACCGAGTGGAGTAGGAGGGATGCTGAAGTAGAACAATTGTCTGCTTGGAAAGCTAAGAAAACCAAGCATAACAATTATAAGTTGAACGAGGATGAAGTGGAAGAAGTAGGGAAGCTGGTGAGAGAAGAAGGGGAGTTAGTGGATATCATGTACCTTACCAACGCAGAGGCGATAAAGGCTGTCGAGCTCTATGGGCCAAGCTCATTGAGCGAAGGTTTGTTTACTTTTGTTTTGTGCAATTTAGTTGAGATTTCAGTTGGCGAGTTTTGACATTTATGTTTGTTTCGCAGTTGAGATGGATGGCTTTCTAAACGCTGCTGAGGGGCTAGCTATCCCAAAGAAGCCAAGGAAGAAGTCAAAGACTTCAACTACGGTAGAAAAGGGGGCAGCAGCGAGGGAGCGGCTATCCAGCACTTCTGCCCGGGCTTTGGAGATGCAACAAAGGCCAAAGCCTATAAGGAGAAGCAGTGAGGAAGTGAACGAGGAGGTGGCACCACTTTAAAGGAAGAAGAGGAAGGTGGCAGAGCCAGAAGCTAGGGGAGATGAGGTGGTTGAGTTTGTGCCTCGACCTCCTCTTGCTAAAGTTGATCCTGAAGTGAGGGAGAGGGAGGAGGCTGAGGTGCGAGGCCCTGGCAAAGGCAAGGAGCTCATCCCTCCCCCTTCGTTCCAGAAGAGCTTGTTCAATGCAACCAACATCACTGGGGCAAAGCGGTTCCTGAATGCCATTCTTCCTAAGGTGGATAAAAGGCAGGCGAGGGAAGAGGCGGTGAGCTAGCTGGGGGCTCGTGTTGTGAGGCACGCCCTGGAGGTATGTAAAGAAGTTGTAGTTTATTCATGTTTTATTTTTGATTTTCTGACTTCTGCATTTGAGTTCTGACTTTTGCCTGCATTGTAGAGTGCAAGCTGGGTTAACGCTTTAGCGCAAGAGTATGCGGAAAGCGTGAGAGATCGTTCTAGCTTGCAGAGGCAGTGTGAGGAGTTGCTAAAAGAGAAGAAGGAGCTGCAGAAGAAGAATAAAAAAATGCAGAGGAAACTGGATGAAGTTCTGCCATCAATAACCAAACTTCAGACTGACAGAGATACTTTGAGCACGAGACTTGTCTTCGAAGAGCGTAAAAGGAAGATTTGCGAAGACAAGATTGAGGCTCAAGACAAATATATTGAGAAGATGAACAAAGGGATGGCTAAACTAAAGAAGAATGTGGATTTTCTGGTTCACAACGGGATGGAGGAGCACATTGGCAACTTCCTCAACTCCAGCACTTTTGAAAACATCGTCAACCTCTATCAGCTGCCAACCATAATTTTGGCCTTCACCAACTGTAGAAAGAAGGTGAAGGCTCAGTACCCGGAAGTGGACGTCACTACGGTCACCTTTGGTGAACAAGAAGAAGTAGTGGAGGAGGACGATGAGAGTCTCTCTGCTAACTTCCGGCCTCTGATCAAGCTGAGGTGGGAGCGTGATGTAGAGGGACGCATTATCTTTCCTCCAGCCTTTGATGCTGAGCTGGTGGCTGTAGAGGAAGAAGAAGAGGCGTAAGGTGCTGGAGTGGAGAATCAGGTAGACCCGGCCGAAGCTCAGCCTCCCATAGTTCATCCAATTTCCTTGGACGGAATGCAATTAGCTCCTCCTAAAACAGAAGTGCCACCTCTGCCAGCTGGGGATAAGCCACCTTAACCACCTCTTCCTGTTGAGGAGCAGCCTCCTCTTCCAACAGAATAGCTTAGGATTTTATATTTTTTTAGTTATCTTTGTAATGAACATTTTTGTAATAGATTTTTTACTAATTTATAAAAAATTTTGAAGATATTTTTGGTGTTTAATTTTGATTTCTGATTGCTGTTTTATTTTAAGTAAATCACTTCGGATAAAATAAAGTGACTTTAATTAACAGAAGGAACTAACCTCGAACACTAAAATGAACAGCAAGGGAATTGACTGTGGATATACATAAGGCGAACCTCAAATATACAAATGGGAAAAGATGAAATAAATCACTTCAAAAGTAAAGTGTAATTGATTAACAAAATCGTAACCCAGAAAGTGAAGTGACTAAATAAGTCACAATGAATTAACTTCAGAAATAAGTGAAATTCACTCCCAACATACAAAAGGGTAGAAAGAACTGAATCACTTCGAATGTGAAGTGAAATTCATTAATGAGATAAATAAATTGAACTCGTATATACAATGAGCAAAAAGAAAGAATAATGACGCTTATAAAAATAAGACAAAGTTCACTGGAAAGAAGTGTATTAAGGGTAAAATTTCTTCAAGTTATTGACATTCCAGACTCTAGGAACCTTTTTGCCTTCAGTGTCCCGTAGGATATAAGCACCTAGGTGCGGCACTTCGGCTATAGTGTAGAGGCCTTCCCAGTTTGGTGCTAACTTTCCGAATCGAGTTTCGAACCCCATTAGACCAGCTTTTCTGAGAACAAGGTCTCCTACTTTGAATGTTCAGGGTCAAACTCGTTGGTTGTAGAAGTTAGCTATTTTCTGCTTGTAAACTAGGCTTTGAAGCCGTGCTTCCTCTCTGACTTCGTCAAGCAAATCAAGGTTTTCCCGAAGCAATTGTCCATTTCGTTCTTCATCGAAATGGGTGACCCTGAAGCTTGGGACTCCTATCTCGATAAGAATGACTGCTTCGGTACCAAAGGTCAGGTGATAGTGTTTCACCTATTTCAGTTAATTATAATTTTAGAATGCTCTTTACTCGTTATGCATATTTGATCTAGGGTAAAGCCATAGAAGAAGAAATAAAATAATATGAAAGTTAATCAAGTAGACCAGGTTTGAAGTAATACCTGTGGCAGTTCGGCTCGTGGTTCTGTATGCCCAGAGGACGTTGTTGAGCTCGTCTGCCCACCTGGCCTTATGCAGCTCTAACCTTGGTTTTATTCCCTTGAGTATAACTTTGTTGACAGATTCTACCATCCCATTAGACTCTGGGTGGTACACCGAGGTGAACTGCAATTTGATCCCATAACTGGAGCATAAATCTCTAAATGAGGAGCAGTTGAACTAAGTTCCATTATCAGCCACAATTTGATTCGGGATTCCATATTTGCAAATGATTGAGTTGAAAACAAAGTCTTCGACCTTCTTAGAGGTAAGACTAGATAATGGCCGAGCTTCAACCCATTTCGTAAAATAATCCACACCAACAATCAGATGGGTTACACCTCCTACCCCTTTCATGAATGGACCTAGAAGATCAAGTCCCCACTGAGCAAATGGCCAAGGTGCTATCAGATTAGTGAGCTCTTCTGCTGGCTGGTGAATTAGATGTGCGAAGAACTAACATTTCTGACACCTCTATACGAATTGAGTGGCATCCTTATACATGTTGGGCCAATAATAACCTTGTCTAAGGACTTTATGAGCCAAAGTTTGAGCACCTATGTGACTTCTGCAGACACCTTCATGCATCTCCCGAAGTACATATTCAGCCTCATAAGGGTTCAAGCAGCGGAGTAGAGGGAGTGAGAAAGATCTCTTATAGAGGACTTCGTTAACAAGGGTATACCGAGATGCTTTCTTCCTCAACCTCATCTCTTCTTATTTATCTGCAGGCACTGTTCCATCTTGTAAAAATGAGATAATTGGATCTGTCCAGCTCGGTGTGCTAGGATCTGTGTTGATCTCCATCATTTTTGGCTTTAAGAAGCTAGGCTCGTCCAGAATTTCAACAAAAACTGATCTGGAGCTTTGGTTGCCATCAGAAGCAAATTTGGAGAGGGAATCTGCTTGCTCATTTTCAACTCGGGGTATTTTGCTCAAATGGAATTTTTGGAATTTGGATTTAAGCTCGGCCACCAAAGTTGCATACTTCATCATAACAGGATCAGCCACTTCACAGACTGAGTTGACCTAATTGACTACTAGTTGTGAATCACTGTATATTTGTATTGCTGCAACCTTCAATTCTATTGCCAACTGTAAGCCAAGTAGCGGAGTCTCATACTCAGCCATATTGTTGGTGGCATCAAAATTAAAGTTCAGAGCATGTTCACTTCGGTACCCATTTGGGCCAAGTAGGATTGCACCAGCGCCAGAACCTTTGTTACTTGATGCTCCATCAACATACAAAATCCAGCTGTCTAGCTCGGACTGGGAACCAGAGTGAGTCGAGGTGCATTCTATTATGAAATCTGTAAGAGCCTGAGTTCGGATTGTTGACCTCTATTGGAATGTTATCTCAAATTCTCCCAGTTCAACTGCCCATTTGATCAATCTTCCTAAGCAGTTTGGCTTCTGTAAAATTTGTCTGAGGGGTTGGTCTGTGAGGACTATGATTGGGTGTGATTGGAAATATTGTCTCAGTTTCCTGGCCGAGGTGACAACTACTAAAGCTACTTTCTCAACAATGGAATATCTGATTTTAGCTCCATGTAACACACTGCTGGTGTAATAAACTAGCTTTTGTTGCTTCCCCTCCTCTCTTACTAGCACAGAACTAATAGCTTCATCTGATATGCTGAGGTACAAGTAAAGGATTTCTCCATCATCAGCCTTTGTCAGCAAAGGGGGTAAGCTAAGATAAGATTTCAGCTTGTCAAATGCAACTTCGCATTTTGAATTCCATTTGAATTTCTTCTGTTTGCCAGATTCATCCTTCTCGGCTACCAATCTCATGATCTTGAAAAACGAAAGGCATTTATTTGCTGATTTCAAGATGAATCTATGAAGAGCTGCCACTCTCCCTGTCAACCTCTACACATCTTTTACTGACTTCGGTGGTTCCATTTCGGCTACTGCTTTGATCTTCTCAGGGTTAACCTCAATTCCCCTTCTGGATACCATGAAGCCTAGAAATTTTCCAGACTCCACACCAAAGATGCATTTTGCTGGATTCAACCTCATTCTGTTCTTTCTGAGATTGTTGAATGTCTCCTCGAGGTCAGTTAAATGATCTTCAGCTTTCAAACTTTTCACCACAATATCATCAACATAAACTTCCAGATTCCGGCCTATTTGAGCTCGGAATATGATGGTAACCATCTTTTGGTAAGTGGCGCCTGCATTCTTTAAGCCGAAGGGCATCATCACGTAGCAATAGATTTCATCTCCGACACAGAACGAGGTTTTCTTTTCGTCCTCAGGAGCCATCGGGACTTAGTGATAGCAAGAGTATGCATCCAAGAGACTTAATCTCTCATTTCCAGAAGCTGCCTCAACTAGCTTATCAATGTTTGGCATTGGGTAACAGTCTTTTGAACATGCCTGGTTGAGGTTAGTGTAATCGATGCACATCCGCCATTTGCCATTTGCCATTTGCCATTTGCTTTTTTCACTAACACAGGATTGGCAACCCATTCACAATAATCGACCCGTCTGACAAAGCCAGCTTGTAAGAGTTTTTCAACTTCTTCTTTGATGACCTTTAACCTCTCCCCCCCCCCCAAAGAGGCGTCGCTTCTGGGTCACTGGTTTCTTGAGTGGATTAGTGCTGAGTTTGTGTTGAGATACCCAAGTGGGAATTCCCGGCATGTCTGCTGAGGTCCATGTGAAAACATCTTTGTTAGCTCGGAGAAAGGCTATCAACTCTGCTCTCTCCTTAGGCTTCAACCGAGTTCCTATCTGTGTCTTCCTGTTCGGGGTTTTTTCATCAATCTGTACCTCTTCAACATCTTCACCCGGAGCAGCTTGAGTTTCATCTTCAGGTCGGTTATCAAGAATTTCGACCGCCATCACTTGTCAATTGTCATGGATTTCTGGTGGAGGGTTCTCTGCTGGTTGATCTTTGTTTTTTTGTGGTCTGGTAACCGAAGTGAGATAGCAGTGTCTAGCCACTTCTTGGTTACCTCTCAGTGTTGCAATTCCCATGGGGGTTGGAAATTTCATGCAGAGATGAGATTGAGAGACCACAGCTCGGATCTCTGTTAATGTGGGTCGGCCAATGACAACATTGAAAGAAGAAGGCATCTTGACCACCATAAACCGAACTGAAGGAGTCACATAGGTTCGGCCACTTCCAAACGCAACATTCCTAGTTAGGATTCCTTCAACTGGAACTGGTTGGTTGTTGAAGCCATATATGGGACCATCATATCGTTGTAGCAGAGTTGGGTCGAGCCCTAGGCTCTCAAAATAGTGGTAGTACATGATATCAGGTGCACTGCCAGTGTCAACAAGTACACACTGGAACTGACAATTGTTGATCATTACAGAGATGACCAAAGGGTCGTTGTGAGGTGTTACCACCCCTTCAAAATCAACAAGTGTAAAAGTGATTGGTTGATCTTTCCAGTCAGCATCATCAATTTTCCTTTTCTGAGCTCGGTTCTGGTGCTTGACCTCTTTGACATATAACTTCCTTTGTTTAGAGCTCATCCCTCCTGCTTCCAATCCTCCTGTAATCATGTGTATAATTTTGGCTGGTGGTGGAAGTGAAGGTGGGGCTTGTTGATGTCCCACTCCTTGTCTGTTTGGTGGATTACAGATACCTTGAGGCTGTGGGCCCTGTTCTCTGACAAACCTTGGCTGTTCAGCTCTCTGGATGTACTCATTTAACATTCCTTTCTAAGCTAGACTTTCCAGCTCGGACATCAGACTGTTGCATTGCTCTGTTGTATGACCGTGATCTTGATGAAAATCACAATATCTAGTATGATCTCGACTAGCAACAGCAGTTCTCATTGGACCTGGACGCCTTAAGTCCATCTTGTTCTTAATTTGCATGAAAATCTATGACCTTGGTCAAAATAGCTAACCTCTAGTATTGTATCATTGAACTTGCTCATATAATTCTTCAGAGATTCTCCGTCCCTCTGTTTAACTCGCATAAACTCAGAGGTAGTTTTCTTGATTAACCTTTTATTGGAAAACTTTGTGGCAAAAGCAGATGTCATTTCTGTATAAGAGCTGATGGACCTCGAAGATAGACTGTAATACTAGGTTCGAGCATTACCTCGAAGAGTTGAGGGAAAGATTTTGCACATCAATGCGTTAGAGGCGTTCTGAGCTTGCATGCAAGAGTAGAAAGCATATAGGTGATCATCAGGATCCTTCGTCCCATCATAAGTCTTAAGTTGAGGTATTTTGAAGCCAACAGGATAGGGTGGGGTATGGAGTTAGTAGCATGATGTGGAGGTGGGGCACCTTGCTGTTCGGCTACCAGTTTTTCTAAGTTGTCCAGACGTCGGGTGACATCATCAGGAAGGGGTTGCTGAGCTGGTGCTATGTGAGATTGGCCTTGAGATTCACTAAGAGCAGGAGCATGCTGAACTGGTTGAAGATTTTGCTGTAGAGTTGGGGGTTGTGGAGCAGGGTTGAGTAAATTGATGAGGAGGTCACCGGGGTTATTTCGAGCTAAAAGCTGAGCCAATACCAGCTGAAAGACACCAAACTGTTGTTGTATGGCAGCAAGTTGAGCTGCAACTACGTCCTGGTTGGCGGAGGAAGTTGAGTTATGGGCTGAATTGTGTGGTTGATTTTCATCTCCTCCTTCTGCATGATCAACAAGAGGGAATATATTTGGGATTGGAGGTGGGAGGTGAGGTGGAAGGTTGCTGGGGACCTGACCTCGTCCAAGAGGTTGAGATGAGTTTCCAGCTCGGACTGATCGAGTATTAACCATGATGAGAGCAACAAGGGAACTTTTAATTCAGATTCCCACAGATGGCGCCAAATGTAATTGCACCAAACCAGAAGTCCTCCTTCAGTCCGCGTCTGCACTCTGGATTGACTTGCAAAGCCTCGAGGTTGAACTCGGGGTAGACACTCCGATGTTTAAGTCAGCAATAATCGGGGCTACCTTAGAGTGGAGATAAAAGGAGTTTAGGGTTGGTTTCAATTACCTTTTTGACGTGGCCCTTGGGGGTATTTATAGGCTTCAATGAGGAACCCACGTGGCATGCCAAGCAAGATATTCAAAGTCTGACGTGTCTCTCCAGACGGTTATTTCGGGACCGAGAAATTGAGAGATATTTAGATGCAAGGATGTCCATGATAACTGCTATGCAGCTTATCATGAGGAATCAGGCATTGTTTTAAAACCCGGCCCGGCCCGGTCGGTTGAACCGGACCCGGGCTTAAAAACGGGCCGGTTTCATGCATTGGCCCGTTTTGCAAGTTGGCCCGCGTTAGCCCGCCAGACTCGCCAGACCCGCTCCAAACTCCCAACCCGTCCCACCCGCCGGGCCATCCCTCTGCCTCATCCCTGCTCCATTTCCCGTGAGTTCATCGGCATCTCACCACAACAGTCACCACCTCATCACCTCCGACAGAGTGGCCTGATCTCCCTGCTCCACTTCCGTCAAGATCTCACCAGCAGTCACAGCCTCATCTAGTCATGGAGAAATAAAGAAAACTCTCTGCAAATTGTAAAACCCAGAACAGAAGAAAGGAGTGAGAAAAAGAAGGAACCATCGACGAGCTCCAGATCTCAGCCACCTCCGTCGGCGGCAACACAACTCAGCGTCCAGCCGATCGTCCTCATCACTCATCTCCTCT